GTATCGGTCAATATCGGTATCGGACATTTCTCAAAGTTGTAATATCGGTATCGTATCGGAAGTGAAAAAGTGGTATCGGGACATCCCTAATATATATAACATAAATAAAAACTAAGATAGATAATTCAAAAAATAAAATTGTGAGCATAAAGGAAATAAATTAAAAATGTTCAATGTAAAGGTTTAAAAAAACCTGTAAAAATAAATTTGACAAAGTACAAATGAAAATAAAGCCTTTTAAAATTTTTGCAACCAGAAGCTGCTCTTCATATTAGCAACAAACAAATAACAGTAACAACAGCTTTTTGACAAGTTCAGTTTCTTTAAAATACATTCAAAATGTTTAAAAATAAACTACAAAAATTTATTTGATAAATGCAAATTAAAATATAGCTGTATCTGCAACCATATTTGATAATGGTATGAACTTTTGAAATTTTGCATATTAGAAACAGAAGCTGCTGGTATTATTAGTATATATTAGTGACAAACTTTGGTGTTTTTTGATGAGTTACTTTCATTTTTGCCTTCTACCTTTCATTTAAAATAAGTTTCCACTTTCAGCAGGTATCTAAGGTTCTTCTTCTACATATTAAAAAAAGTTGTTAAACATCTGAGTGGTACACTACCGCTACTAGTGGTGAGAAAGTGTATTGCACCTTATTCAAAATCAATGCTGTCCCACTGCCCTCTGTAGCCCAAAGTTAAAAACTGTTGTTCTTTTGAGGTCCTCAAGGTAACACTCGCAGCCCACAATTGGGCTGCGGCCCATGGGTTAAGAATCTAACCAATAGGGTGTCAGAACTGTGTATCTTTATCATCCAAACACAATTAAATTTACTCTATCTGGGAGGTACAACATATCTGCATAGGGTTGGTTTTTTATTTAACACTAAAAAGCTGGAATAAAAACAAGCTGAAATGAATTGGGAGAAATGACTTTTGACTTCTTATATTTAAAGTGTAAGGAGAAAGTACAGAAAATTACATTAAAATGTAAGGTAAGGAGTAGAAGTAAAATGTCGGCTCAAGTATAACCAAAATTATTACAAAAGTAAAGTAACACAGTATTGTACTTCATTACTTTACACTTCTGTATGATGGACTTGCCAGCTGTGTGCTATTGATGGTAATCATGTTTAAGTTGTTTTACAACTTGAAGAGGTCCTCGCTTTAAATCAAAGACCTCACTTTGATAGTAACTATGGTGCAAATGGTCCTCATTCTGTAGTCAAAACAAGTATACACACACACAAACACACACACACACATATACCTACAAACACAAACTCAAGGTCAATTTAGAATCTTTAGCCAACCAAGCCTTTATGTTTTTGAACAGTTACTGTTTTAGTCTGCTACTTTGGGAACTTTCTCAGTAATCATAGTTTGTTTGTGTTTTTATTTATTCATTTAGTTTTTGTTTTTACATAAAATATGTATCTAAATTTGTTGGTTGTCTGATATCTATTTAACTTGAACATAACCTTCTTTAATTGATACCTTCATTTTGCATTTAATATTTATGTTAGAAACCTAGTAGACACTACAGTGGCCATCCACCATCATTAGATGATCAAATCATTGTTTAAGATTATATTTTAAAGATATAAACACGTTTTGTTGTTACTACATACAAGCCAACAACTATCAGTCTATTAGATGAGGCATATTTTAAGTGAAGTATTTATTAATGTAAAAATGCATTTCCATGATATAACTGCCCTTCGTGGTCTTTGTTCGTACCTCTGTTCACTGTCTGTGGATGCTTAACTTTTCACACTGACACACTGTTCTTATAAAAAGTTCCATGTGTTATGACATAAGGATAGATATTAAAGGAATATGGATATTTACATTGATGATGTTGAGGATCAGAGCTTATTCTGAAGAAATGTACTAGAATATGTAAAAGAAAATGAGGCTTTAGTAGTTCTTATGTGATTTTAGTGATTCTTTAGTGGCTTTAGTGGTTATTACTCTCTTCTAATTTGAAAAATAAATAAACAAAATCTCGTGCCAAACGCAGAAAGCTAGAATCTGTGGAATAAATAAGTAGTAGTCAGATAAAGGTGATAAATGCTTGTTTAACTTCCTGGTCTTTTGGATTAAAGTCTGCATGCTAAGGATTATACATTTCCATCCTATTATAATACAGTATGTAGAAATACTGTATATTACACTCATCTCATGGATTACTAATCCAGAACAGATGGCTGAAAGACTTTGTGTTGGATAACCAGTCAGTCCAATTATCTTTCACCTTCTTATAACATCAGTTCCTTTTTTTTTTTTTATCTTGAAGCAGAATCAGGTCTCTTACCTTGTTGAGAGATCAGGAATCAGCTTGCCTCTGATCTCTCTCCTTTGATAAACTCTATCATCACTGATACTTTATTTGTCACATTTGTTTGACCCTCTCCTCTAACCCTCTCTAGATTTTCCTCGACAGAAACACCACCAAAGCTCACGCTGCTTCCGTGTGTCTGCTACACTGATGAGGGAGGGACTGCACAGGCGCACATGTGCTCTACCGCCATGACGCTTGTCTCATTTTTCAGAGGGTGGTTTCTAAACCACGTGCTCTCTCTCCCTCTGTTTAAAGAGGAAAGAGCTCCTCCTTTTCTCTTTTCCATCCCCCCAGTCTACTCACACACAACAGACTGAGTGAGAAATGTTAAGCTGCTTCACATTCGTTTTTACGCCCGCTGTTAGAAAGCAAAGAGTAGGCAGTATGTTTTTGCCAGCGTCTGTTAGTTAGCAAAAAATCTCATGAACCACTGGAAAAATTTTAATGAAACTGCCAAAGGTAAACATAGCATGTACATCTACAGTGGATTTACATTTTGAGTCAACTAAAATCCAGATGTCTGTAAAAAATAAACTAAAAAATAAATTGCATTGTAAACATACTGGTGAGATAATGTGAGCCCTAACAATATGTTCAAGATCTATGTTTAAACCAGTGGTGTCAATTTCATTTTCACTGAGGGCTGTATGAGCATTACAGTAGACCTCCAAAACGTCAATGTTTCATGTTCAACTTTGACTAAACAGAAATTGTCATGTTCCTCATCTCATTGCTAACGAACAAT